AAGTCCTTGACCGTCCCTGATGGCAGCGTTAGGAGGTTGCAGCATTTGGGGGGCAGAGTGTGTGTGTAAATGTAAAAGTATTCTTAATTCTCTCATGCTTGTCCTGCCTTGGTTCTAATTTCTTGTATTTATTAGCGTGTGTGTGTGTGTGTGTGTGGGGGGGGGGTATTGCACTTGTTAGCCCTCTTGTTGGTGGCACAGTCATACAAGCAGTGTTTGAAAGGCACCCTTTCTTCATGAGACTTGGGAATGCACAGAGCACCAATTACAGCTGCTTTTTTTCCCCCTCTCTCCCTTTCTTTCCTCCCAAAGGTAATATTCCAAATGAAAAGATCGCCATATGGCTCAAAGATTGCAGGTAAGTGCTGCTGCCCACCAAACATTCTAGCACTGCTCTAAATGGTCACCTGTATGAGTAGCCATGTCCACAACTATTCCTTACAGGAACCGAACTTCCAGCCTTTACTTATTTGGATGTGAATTGAAGGACTGGGCCTTCAAAGCATGTTGGAGTTGGGAAAAAATAGTTCTCATCATTACTTTTATCCCTCTCTCTATAAGATGCTTTCTCTTGTTAGGGAACAATTGAAGTTCTTCATTGAGAATAAAAAGGTTCCATTAGTATGTTGCTAGAGTAGAAGTGTGGCTGTATGGCAAATGGTTGACTTTTCTTTTCCCACCCTGTTTCTCTCTGTTATGTGCCAATGGTAAAGCATTACAGAGTCACTTTCCTCTAATTCTGAGCAAAGGTTAAGGAAAACAGTGTCTCCCCCCAGCTCCTCTTAAAACTTTCCCTAGCTTCATGTTGTTTGGCTTCCTGTTACACATCTAAGGAAACAGGGCACATCCCCTTTCCTCCTCCCCTTTATTGCTAAGTGTTTAGCAACAGATTGTTGAGTCATCTGTTTTAGAATTCACCCACATCTTCTGCCATGAGGATCGTTTTTGTCTGTTTGAGACTTAGGGTATGTCTACACTTGCACCCTAGTTCGAACTAGGGATGCAAATGTAGGCATTCGAAATAGTCAACGAAGCGGGGATTTAAATATCCCGCACTTCATTAGCATGATCTCGCCGGCGCGTTACTCCGATCAACAGCTGTTTCGAAAGTGAAAGTGCGCGCCGGGACGCATTAGTTCGAACCAAACCCCTAGGTTCGAGCTAAGGTTACGCCTCAAAAAATGTCCAGAATCGTTTCCTGTCTTGGTTTCTTGTACAAGTTGATGATTTGCATGCTTAATAACTCAAGTCACAAACCTATATTATTATAATACAGTTTAATTCCATTATGTATTTGTAATGTCTGTTGATTAGATCAGAGCAATGGGAGATGGAACTTCTGGTTTTCATTCCCACGGTTGCTGCTGACTGACTTTGTGATCTTGAGCAAGCCATTTTAAGAGGTGTTTTCCTTATTTTCAAAGCACTAAAAAGTTGATTAAGAGGGATGTTGCAAGGTTTAATTAATGTGTGTAAAGCCCTCTGATCTTTTTATAAAAGATCCTATACAAGTGTAACTACAGTTGTCAGTGTTGCTGCTGACCAGTTCTATACTTTATACTAAAACCTTAAATTTGCCTCAGATATAGAGCTAGCAAATCCTATTTTGACAACTTTCTTTAGTTTCTATGTCTTACAAAAAAATGTTTGCACATTCTGTAGTCTTAAATTCATTGACATTCCACCCTGGGGCTTAGTGGTACCCACAAACTATTTAAGCTTTGCTCTTATGATGGGCTTTTGCAAAGCTCAAGTGATGTGTGAATGTCAGTAATTCCCTGATATGTCAATTCAGTACATCCTGTATCCATTGAAGTTAATGGAAACACTCCTACTGACTTCAGTTGGACAGGATCCTAGGCAATTTGGGTCTGATTCTGTGTTCCCTCAGCTTTCAGTAATGTCTGTAAGAGCTGGGAATTCTTAGCACCCTGGAGAAGTTTGCAGTTCCTCACAGGATTCTACTCTCAAGACTGTAGCTAGCACAGTTAAATTTGTGTGTAAAATGCATGTTTTTGTTTGTTAAAAGTGTTGAGCGAGAGAATAATTTTACTAGGCATCCATTATGCTCTCTCTGCATATGTGCATATGTAATCAAAGGGAATGGGCTGGGCTGGTTCTTGAACCTTGTGGTTTTCCTCTTTTTCTGTCCATGTTGCTGGTTAAAGACAATATCAGTTCTAAAATCTTGAACATATTTACATTGCATTGCTAAAAGGAACACCTAAAATGCAGATACTGTGTCCCGAGATTGTTACAAGAAATCCAGTTATAATCTAATACTGTTTCATAATTTGGAGTTCTCCAAATTTGGATAACAAAAATGACTGATTTTTATTTCTGTTTCTAGTCAATTGCATGTCCTGGCTCTCAGGAGCTAGCAAAATGCCCTGTTTGGTGTATAAAAACACCAAAAATATTTCCTCATAGGAATGAGTGAATGAATACATGTCTATCATTTCTAGGTTTATATGAGCTGTTAGAAAATGTACATTTAGGTTCAAATTTGGCCAGTCTTACTTTGAGTTTTTCAGTAGTATTAGTTCAAGTGAAGTAGCATCAACATTCTTGGTAATGGTCTGTTTTGTTTCAAAATACCATCCACAACGTTGTACTGTACTTGTGAGGAAAATGGACTTACTAGCTGGCCATTTGTGTAGTATGCACTAGCAGTTTGGGATTGTAATCATTCCACATTGAAATTTCTCATGTGTCTTAGTTCATGGTTATCCAGCACTCTCTCCATATCACTCCAATTTCCACTTATATATTATCATATAGAGGTGACACTTCCCTAAAATAGAGCAGAAGTGGGAGTATTGTCATCCCTGTATGAGGGACTTTCTTCATTTATCTCAAATTTGCCAGTGTTCTGAAATCATTTAAAAGACATTAGTGCATTTACTAAGGCTACTTAAGGTAAACATTAGAAATTTAGATCTGCTGTGTGCTCACCTTACACTGAAACAGAAAGGAGGAAGTCCTCCATCTGAACTCCAGGATGGTTTTTATGTTTTGAACTTGAGTGTTTTGTTTGGCCAAAAATGTCTTCTATAATGATAACATAGTTCTTTTCCAACAGGATAGACTTTCTCATGTAGAGTATTTAGAAAAGAGTAGGTTTTGAACTGTGTCCAAGACAGTGTTGTGTATTGAGTTTCTGATGGCAGAATGGACACACAATTTAATTGAAGTCTAGTGGCCAAACTATGATTCTAACAGCCAAAGTTTTAACTGCTTCTAAAGCACAACACAATTTCTTTATTAATTGTTAAAGATTTCCTACAATAACCAATACTGACTCAAACAGAAATTTTCTACAACATGAGAGGGTGAAAAGCAGAATCCTCACTGAAGTCCACTATAGGCACAGCCATGTTGAATCTTATCTGTTGATCAGTGCATAGCTACTACAGTGATGGGCACTGTGGATGGAAAGAGGAATAAATATTTGAGGTGAGGTATTGAGAAGATCTCAGAAGTCAGTATGGCATGCCCCCTGCTCTTCCTAACTGCACCTAGAATGTCTGGGAAATGTCATACTGTGAGGGATCTAATTCACACTTCCTTGATCCCTGTGCAAATCAGGATTTTTACGCAGTTCTGCATTTGATTGTCCTTGGTTCCCCATTTGTCCTTGCCCTCATGCCACTTCACTGAGGGCTGTGAAAGCGAACAGCTTCTCTGGAGTTTGCCATATTATTATAGTATCCTTCCTAGATGCACAACAAACTTTTTTTTGAGTATGAGAAGATATGTAAAGATCTCTAAAACCTTCTGTTTAGCTGCATAATGCACTTGAAAGCAAACTTGAATCAGCTGACTTATGGGCCTTGCTACTGTAAAGATTTCTTTAAAAACATATTCATGTTGCTTTGCTATTGCCCAAAGGACTTCTATTGTTCTTTTTACGCTCTTTGCTTTTTAAATGTACATTTTTTTTCAGTGGAATGGGTTATAA